GACTGGCGCTGTGATCGCTTTATGTAGAATTAAATCAGGATCGCTATATAGATACCAAAGTTGATCTAGTTCAGTGACTTTAATTTAACTGAAGGTAATAAAGGAAATTAAATATTTTCACGCTGTTTCACATGTAGGCCAGTTAACAACTTACTGTCTATGAGAAGAAAACAGGAAGGAAGGTTTGATTAGAGAAACCGGTGCTCAGTTCTAGTGGCTGATCTCTTAGATCTTTATGCTCTGCAGGGCAACAATCATCAGTTGTGCCACTGGAGGCTCCTCACCCACACGTGTAACAACTACAGTCATGGACACACCTACAGTACACATACACACAGATGTTCTCTGATCTAATATCACACAACTGTCCAAATAACAGGTATTCATTTTGGAGAAATGTGTTACTGTTCACGGATGGATTTGTTCTCCTTTTAAGCAAAACAAAAGATATTTATTGTCATTGGCTGCAAAATTCCCTACTGACTTTATCTTAACAGAAACATGGACGAATCAGTGGCAACGGCAGCAGTCAATAACACCTCTGGTTGTGAAATCAATCGAAGTCCATAGGAAATGAGTCTTCTCTCTTTATTTTCTTACCTCAGCAAACATTGCAGAGGCGAGTTTATCGTCTCAACTGCTAGTTTAAGATCTTCTTCAATACAGCATGATTTTAATTGTATAGTTATACATAGTGAAGCCCGGTATGCTTTAGTGCTTTAGGTGTCCACAGCGTTTTCATCAGAGAAGCATTTCACAATGTGTTTTTCAATGAATTGTTAGAACAGCAATTCCACAATCAATGGGTGGTTTTTGAGATATTTCACTTAAAAACAAAATCTTATACAAGATCTTATTGTGCATTACAGAAACACTTTTGGGAGTCATCTGACAGCAGAATTACTATCTATTCAATTGGAAATACATCCAACTTGCAAAGCAAACTGCAGCGCTAGAGGAAAAGGTTAGGTGAGCACTGAAGTCAGTGGAACCTCTGGAGACTATCGATGCTTGTACAAAAACATATATTATTGCAATCCATCTAAAGTAAAAGATATTTCAGTCTGGCCCAAAGTAATACACAGACCAACTTTGCCATCGTTGCACTTACCATGGCTAAAAAAAACGTGAAAATCTCTTTTGGCGCAGGAGAAGCTTTTGGAAAATTTCTCTAGGCATTTAACCAAAATGAAACCCGTGAATCAAGCAAAGGGACAAGGAAATCTCCTCTACCGACGTCAACATGTGTAAAAGCATTACACAGTATTTGCTCTGTCTGCGTACAGTCTGAACTGGAAAGTGTTCGTTGGACAGTGAAACTGACGCATGAATGTGAAGTTCTAAAACCAGCATTTCTTTAGCAGCCAGTTGATTGAGGAGTCCAAAGGGACTTTTTGTTTGCACAACTGACAGAAAATGGAAGATAGCGAAAACATATGACAAACTTTACTTCAGTATTGCTGAAAATGTTTATTTTTTCATTCACATTTTCGTTATCGTAAAGGAAATGTGAATCTGACACTGGTTTTATTACGGGTAAGCAAGGGTGTACCCTTGTTTTAGATGTTGGGGGGGTTCTCACTGCCTTTGTTACTTTATGATTCAACCAGCATGCCTCTTTCTCTTCCACCTCTCCTCCCGTCTTCAGAAACCAGAGACAATCTTGTGATCAGGGCAATAATCTGACAGTATAGCAGAGTGGCCTGAGGGCCCCCTCCTCTCTCTCAACCCCCCCACCCGCACCACCAGCGCCCGTCCACGGGAAAAAAAACAGCCTTTGAACTCTGCCTTCATTTCGATCCCAACCTGTGTTATGACTGTTTGTGCAGCAATAAAAAAATCTGTCCTCAGAAATATAAAACAGCTGTCAAAGTACTAAAGACCAACTCTTGTGGTGGTTCCCACTACAGTAGGACCACCTTTTACCAGCATCACTGTTGCAACTGGTTGAATTTCATATTTTAAAGACTTTATGTTTCTTCAAATAGCTCAGGCTTTACTGTCATTGTGACACGCAAAAGGTAATTATGCTGCTTTTCCCTGCAGACAATGACATAAAAACATAACATAAAAAGAAAAGACACATCAACTCTGCAATTGATATTCAAGGAGAAAATAATTTTCCGCACATCTTTCACCAGTGAGGGATCGCTCATTGATTTAGAGACGGCAAAAAAGAAAATGCTTCAGTCCTCTTTTCAAAGGGAGATTAGACCCAGGAGTCCCTGACCGATGATTTGAATCATCGACTTTTATGGTGCAGGCCCATAAATAATGAACATTACTATGGGAAACAGATCGACTGGGGACCGCATACAAACGTAAACTATGTATTTTAAACCTTTTTCTGTTTGCTCAGAGGCAGACTCAGTCCATGTCGGCACAAAATAGGTTTCTTCAAAAAAATCCTGGATTGAACGGTCTGTATTTAGTTCAGAACAGCCTGTGCCCTCTTAAGATACGGTTTAGTCATTTCTAGAGTGTCTTAAGTAGAAAAACCCTGTTATTTCATTGAGAGCGGAGGGTTCATGACACTGCCTTTAGCCAATGGCCTTCTGCCCTTTACTTACACCGGAGCAACTTCAAACCAACTTATTTAAAGGCTGCATTTGATATGGGCAGTCAAAGACTACAAGATGCTCTGCTTTTCCAAATTGAGAATAAAAGATGAATCCCAAATAAAGTATTTTATGTTAAAATTGCTTGGAAGTTAAAAAAATTAAAATAAAACTTATCTGTGCCAAGGTCTGATCCACGCACTATAAAAAAGTGTTCACACAAAAAGACAACTGACTTGTTCGATGCCAGCAAAACACAAACACACATTCATACACACATCAGACAGGATTGGAGACCATAAGCCAGCTGTTAATGAAAGGTTTGTAAACAACCCACCCAGACATAAAAGCGAGCTGATTACTACTCTGGAACAGAGTGGTGATGGACTGGGATTGCAACGCTAATACACACACACACACACACACACACACACACACACACACATACACACACACACACACACATACACACACACACACACACACACACACACACACACACACACACACACACACACATACAAAGACACAGAGGGCGACTTCATACAACACCATCTCTTTGGAGCCCTGTGGGATATTGGTACTATCACTGTAGAACATGAACACACTCGCACAACCCGATCGAGAGGCAACATAAAAGAGAAGTCTCAACAGGGGGACATTAGCATCACTATGGTACACAAAGCTGCATTCCCTGGCACCTACACACACACACACACACACACACACAGACGATTCTATTGAAGCACAGCAGGATATTATCATAATCCCCAAAAGGTACGAAGCAGTACACCAATCGAGGGCACCTCTGCTGCAGTGAATCTGAGAACAGCACACTGAAGGAAATCAAGTTTTGAATCCACCTACCGAGGAGAAGGGGGGAGAAGAAGGTCAAGAAACAAAGGAGAAAATAAAACGTCAAAGATCTAAACCACTGCATGTAGAGAGATTCATCACAGTTTTAATGTATTCATTTCTTTTTTATTAAGTTTAGATTTCCTTTCCGAATACTCAAAGGTATTTTAAGTTTCTATTTGTGAAAAAGAGGGATGGCACGTGGGTTTCCTTGCAAGGTTTGTGACCAAAGGTGAAGAAGCACAGCTGGGATTTTTTTTACCAAAACAATGCAGCCAATTCTGCTGAGATCCCACATTGCTCTCTATTGTTGGAACGAGCACATTTTCCTAAAAAGATGGCTGTGCATAGTGACATTGTGGTTTTTATCAGAAAGGAAGGAGCCGTTTGTGATATCAGGGATCTTCATAACAAACATTATCTTATCTTATATCTTTTCTTTGTATACCTCTAGGTAAAGAATAAAAGTAGGACAATCACACATTTTCCATTGTGAATCCAGTACTTTTCCATAGATCTACGCTATGCAGGTTAATCCGGGGACAATTCATTATCTATTCCCGGGTGCCAAGCATCTAGAAACACGTTTTATAACTTAATTTCTCTCTCTCTTTATGCGCGGTTGTGAGTGTTTGTGTGTCTCTCTCTTGCCTTATCAGCAAACACAAAGTGCACATTTAGCAAGAGGGAAATGATATTGTGCAAATAAGACATAAGGGTTTTACTCCATGCAAATAATGCCACATATTATATGGCTTCACTTGAGATTGCTCTGAACCAAGCAATAGCAAAACTGTCACCAGAAGTTACATTTAAATCTGGCAAAAGCAGTCACATTATCATATCAGCTGCACTTAGTGTATCAAATTCAGCCAACAGCATGGTTCATCACTAAGTCTGTGAAAATAAATGGCTTAATCTTTCTCTAATGCGCAAAAGCACACAGAGGAAATTGCACACCATTAATTACACTCCAGACATTAAAGATCCCCCAAGGATTTCACGGTTAAGATAGAAAGTAAATTAGTAGATGCACACACTGAAATACCATGAAAACATTAATGCTGCCAACTGAAGGAATACTTTGGTTTGAGTTACAAACAGACAGAAAGCCAGACAGTCTTGGTGGGGAGGAGAGCGCAAATTAACGAGCAACCTCACAGACGCAAGTTAACAATATGGGTCATTCATCCTCGAACTACAGGAGTCACCGTCACTTTATCCGCCGCTGCGTGTTCCAAATAGTTCCCAGAAAGCTCCACTGAGAGTGATTCCCCCTTTGAAGCGTGGATGGTTTTGGCTTCCTTACCCTCACTTGCTGGGTAAGTGGACCACCAGGCGGATGACTGTCTGGGTATCGCTTTTAAAGGTGGATTCTACTGTTGACCGGCTGCTCAACCTCTGCATTGGTCCCTCTGCATGACACCTGACTTATATTTTTCTGATCTATGGCATTGACACCATTGGCTGTTTTTCCTTCGTTAAACATCTTTATGGCAACTGGCTCTTTAAGAAGAGTCGATGTGAGGACTGGATTTGTACATGGCCCCTTCTCCTGGAGACAGTGTTTGTGTGCGTTTGTTCTACCTCCAAAGATCTCGTTGTCATCCTCAGGAGGTCCAGCTGACTCAGTCAGCCTCTCGGGCTTAGTCTCGTCTCCTCCGTCACTCTCGCCTCCTTCAGCTGCATAAAATGGATTAAATACATGTTGGCAGAGTAGCAGAAAACATGTGTCTGGGTTTACATACATACAGATCAGATACATATAGATTACATTAAAGTGAAGGGGAGTAAAGTGGGGATGGGAGGGGAGTATAACGCTTTAGAATAAGGCTGAGTACAGCATTATGGAGAGGAGGGGTACAATTGGAGGCACACATTTCAGTACAGCTACAGAAGTAAGAATGTATGAACGCACCTTTGTGTCGGCCCTGAAGTGGCCGGCTCTGCTCACCGCCACTGACGCTGAGGACACTGACTGTGTAGTCCTTCATGGGGCTGTAATCTGTTATCAACACCTTAGTGTCAGATTTAGATATTATGATCTCCCTCTGTTGACCACCTGATGGAGAGAGAGAGAGAGGGAGATGGAGAGGGGCAAAGGTTAAGGCCGGCGCATGCATCTGCGTCTGCGTCTCGTTTCAATTCATGGTTCTGCGTGTGTTGCAGAGCAATTCACCACCAGAACAACGGAGGAGTAACGTGTTTTTGTTGAAGACGACCTAGAGAGTCACGTCTATTTATTTATTTGTTTATTTATTTCTCAGACCTTATTGCCCCGCGCATCGCCACTGCTGCTTTTCATCGCGGACACATTTGTCCCGTATTTTCCTCCACAACTTTGTGCACCTCTCGACCGGCAAACCGGCGTTTGCGGAGATCTCCCTCCATGAATCCAACCCGCTTATTGCGCATTTCTTCCGACAAAAGTTCTTAAATCTGATCCGTTCTCTCGTAAACATTCTTCGTTTTAATAATGGCGGTATCGGGCTATGAAAGCGGAAATGTGAGACTCCGTAAAGGATGCAGTTAGCGGACCAATTGCAGCCTTGTGCGCTGCGGGAGGCTAGAAAAATGGGTCGACACACGCAAGGACGCAAGGAGGTGTGAAAAGGCACGCAAGGGACACGCAAGGGGGTCTTGCGTCTGCGTCGCTCTGAAAACGCAGAAGCATAACTAGGCTTAAGACATATATATTTTAATTCCCCTGCTTTTTTCATTTCTTGTTGCTGTATGTAGTTGTAGGAAGCAAAATAGTAGTAATCTCATCTAAAATAAGATAATTCAGAGGAAGAGCTGACTCAGGAGTGCTGGAGTGCTGTTCAGAGCGGGGGGGGGACCTCTGTCATGGTGGTGGGTTGTAGCTAAGAGAGTCTTTCGGGGAAGATAAATAAATCCTTTACTGGAGGGGGACAACAGGTCAGGTGAGGTAGTTGAACTTCGGTCTGTGCTGGGACACATAACTACCATCAATCCACCAAAAAGCTGATCCATGTCTTTCAATTTAGAAGAAAGTCACAGCTGCAGCTTTGCATGACATACATATAAGTTCTGGGAGGTCACTGAATCAGGCCAAGAAGTGGTTTTATCAATGACCTCCCCGTTAAACGACAAATTACTATTTTTATATATATGTTTGCATGAGGATCAATCAATTTAAATAGGACAAGTTAATTAGTGAGCTAATATTCCGTTAAGTTAGTTGGAAGTCTTAGAATTCTGCTCTCCAAAGACTTCAAAAGTTCAAACAGCCTAAGAAGTGAAAAAAACAAAAACAGCTTGCGTCTTGTGGGATGAGACCATTTTGGTAAACACATCAATATCATCTTCACTCAGTTTTAAGTTTAATTGGTCGTATAGCTGAACCTCAGCACACCCATGCTCCGGGGTCATTAAATCAGGTTTCAGCTACACTCTTCTTTTGACATTTTGATTCGACTGACACAATGTTTAAAATAATGAAAGAAAGGCATTTCAATGATCTGCCTTGAGTTTAAACATGAATTCCTTTCCTTTCCAGTTACCAGAAGAAAATATATATTATGTTGAGTCTGAGGTTTAAGCCGCTACTCTGACAGCTCCTTTTGCAAAAAATATTCTAATTTGGTTTTAGATAAAACAAGGTTTTATTCTAAAACCAAATTAGTTTTATTATACTCTGTGATTTTTGACCTCATTTGACTCTGATGGGATATCAGGATACAGGACAGTTTTTGTTGTGTCCTCATCCACCTCATTATCCAAAAAGGCTTTATTAGCCTCATAGTCCCAGTTTTTACTGCATTTGCTGAACGCTGGTGAGCTACTGCTGTATTTTTCCCTGAGAGGAAGTGACCATAAATTTAAGTTACGTTTTTGCTCTCTTTTTAGTTGTCGGAGACGGCAAGAGCGGGATGTTTACAGGGGAGAAGTTTTACGATACAAAGCGCTTCTCCAGTCCTACTTATTCATTTTTACAGCGGCTGCAAAACAATCACCTACATTCAGCGCAGCATCAACACCAACAAAGGTATAAAAGAAACATGTGTAGAAGATGTATGGCTGAGATAGGCACGCTCTTTTTATTATATTTATCATAATGTGGTAAAATGCTGACTGCGAGGTTCAAGCCCAGAAGTGACGAGAGACGAGGTCATCACTGGTGCAGTATAACAGAAGAGTGTCATGCGGTGATAATGCAGTTTGATCCTGAATGGAGGGTTACTATGGCTACTGTTGTCTGCCATCTGCCTTATAGCCACAGTCTACATCCGGTACTCGACTCCCAGGCTGAACTCCATCATGACTCGCTCTCCGTCCTGCTGTCCTGTGCACCTATCGGTCCCGTTTTGCAAAATGTGCTGACAGGGGCTCCACGTTCACAGCAGAAACATTCCTTTGTCTGAAACTTGGCAGTGGTGCAGGACAAACGTTGAGTCCTCCATATCTCTCAGGAGTGTGATCCCTTGAAAGGAGTTCTGATAACAAGTAAATTACATAATCCTGCCTGACAAAGAAAAAATCCAACACCTAGTGGGACCCAACGAAGTCCTACTGTGTATATGTGTGTGTGTGTGTGTGTGTGTGTGTGTGTGTGTGTGTGTGTGTGTGTGTGTGTGTGTGTGTGTGTGTGTGTGTGTGTGTGTGTGTGTGTCCAAAGTTATCCCACCTGGCGTAGTGTTGTAAAGGAACAGATAGCTGTCAAAGTCTCCTTTGGGCTCCTTCCATGAAATAAGGAGTTTGCTTGGGCTCAGCACTTTGAAACGCAGCCTCCTTGGAGCTGGAACTGAAAAGGAATTGTGCAGAATTAAATCAGCTCCAATGAAACTAGGAAATGGTTGAAAATAAAAAATAAAAATGTGTTAAGGAATGAGCGTGTCAGTCAGTGGTGGAACCAAAGAAACAACCGAAATAGAGGCCGAAAGATTCACCCCGAAGAGACACAAATCAAAATGACTCAAAGAGGAAACAAGGATGCATAGAAGGACAGAGAGAGCTGAGTGAATTCCCATTTTGAAGTTCTTGTATCCATGAGAGCAAAACATACATAAAACACCAGAAGCAGGCCGGGAAAAGCATACAGCTCAGCTTCAGCTCAAAACAGCTTGAAAGAGGTTTTACAGAGAAACCTCTTCCAGGCAGATTTACTTCATAAGATATTTTCCAAGGACAACGCCGGAGGGATGATTTAAATTTCTGTCCCAAACGAGTGAAGATAAGTAAAAAAGAAGAAGCACTTTTCTGCCTGTGCCGATGCACGGCGGTACATTTGTGTCTATCTATACAATATCATGATGAAATGATTGGTTTACAGAGCAGCTTGCTTTACTTTCCAGCCCTTTGTCAATGACAGCAGATCCGCAGCGGCCCGAATGATGGTAAACAGCAGCCATTCTTTGTGTGTGTGTGTGTGTGTGTGTGTGTGTGTGTGTGTGTGTGTTTTCAGTCTGCGGGCTTCTTACAAACACACTTAGACGGCTTGTTTTGAAGAATAAAAATAAATGTGGTTGAGAAAAAGACAACTGAAGAAAAGGACAGACAGCAGCAACACTGCAGCGTTACGGGTTTTGGGATAAAAATGTTCGACTTTCTGCCCCTATTTAATAGTGATAGTCACGAAACGGGGAGAGAATAACGACATGCAGCAAAGGGTCGTGTGTCAGACCTTAACCGCAGTCTAGACACGTGGTGAGCCGCGCCCTCCACTTTACGCTTTCATACTTTTATTCAATCTTTTTATTAAGTAATCACATTGCAACACCTATCAAATTCTCAAAATGCATAGGACGACACGGTATAATCACACCCCATAATACTATGAATAACTTAAGCCTTTGATAGAGCTGCTGGATTATTACTCTGGTATCATTTAGTTTGTGGTGGATTGCAGGTGAATCGCGTTGGCAGAAAGGGTACTAATAACTGGGGGGGAATTGCCTTCTTCTTCATTGCCTTGCATGTCACATACACACACTGACTTTATGAAAGAAAACATGAATGAGCCCATTAAGACCCTCTTTTATTCTGTGACTATATGTCAAGGTCTATGAGTTGAAGGCTTTTCTAGTCAGCGACAGCAACTATGATTAATGTATATGGACATAATAGCTCCTATGGGTGAGGACGCTGACAGAACATGAGGGTCTCTGATATGAATTACCCTTCCCAACCTGCCTCGTTTGCTCTTGTTGATCACTGTGGAGCCGTAAACACCGTCAGAGAGCTTAACATATCACACACACACACACACACACACTGTCTGAATGCAAGATGCTCTGGTGGAATGCATTAGACATCTTCTTACAATAAGACGCTTTCCTTAAATAATGTAGACACCTCGGTTAGGTGGGTTAACCCCCCCGCGCCCCCCACAGTAGAGCTTAAACCAATGTGTATATTACATAAACTAGAAAGGTTTATTTGAGTCACACAGATGGAATCACCAAACCCCTTAAAGTTCTTTGCAGAAGCTTCTTGCAAGGCAATAATTGCAAATGTTTGGCAGAAATTTTGCATAGCAACAAAATTCGGCAAATGGTAACTAGTCTGAGTCAATAAAGCCTTTAACAAAAAAATTAAAAAAACCATAGAAATCCCCTAAAATCCACCATATACAGTATTATAACATTGTGCATTCATAGGTGTCTAATCCCCACTCTGAATTAGAACAGTTTGTGAACTGGAGGCACAGAATAAAGTGAAATGATGCAGGGTGGGGTGATGCATGCACAGCCTGACGCCACTTTTCCCAGGATTAGCAGGTGTGAAAGCCAGCAGGGATTCCTGTTGGAGCAGTAAATGCCCTCCGATCCTCTGCTTCTCTTCATCCCCCTTGAACTGTGTCTCTGTTTCAACTTCTTCTGCAAGTTTCTTCTTCCCATCCTCCGATTTGGACAATCTTCTCTATGTTGGCTTCTTTTCTTTCCCCTTTCTTTACTCAAAAATCTCTCTTTTCGACTTCTATTCCGATTTGCTGTGTGTCATGTGTTTTCGGCTGATCTCAGTCTCTTTTTTTAAATATCCTATACGTCGCTTTTCCCTTAACTCTCTAATCTTTAAATCCCATCATCTTTCTTATCTATATTCTTCCACTTTCTCCTATCATTGTCTACTTTTCTCCTCTACGTCCTTCCCTCATACTTGGACTGATCCTCTTTCTCTTCTTCTTTTCCCTCATCTACACATGCATCTCCTTTATCTCTAATGCATCTCAATCAAGACCTGATTAATTCCCCTGTTTCCTCGCTCCGGATTAGGGCCGTACTGACTTCAAAGAGTGTTCGGGCTACAGTGGCGTCACTAATTCGCAGGATTTATGGATGGCAACCTGCTGACTTGCATTGTCACCGCAAGCTGTCTTCTGTACACTAAGCGAGATAGGGAAAGTTTCTATGAGCGTGTCCATCCAGCGCTGCGGCCTGTGTTGTTTGATTAAGGCCGGTATCTTGTCAGTACGGTAACAACTCTGCTCACAAATGTAGAACTCAGGAACCCAAATCCACTCCGGCGTTCTCCTTCCACCCCTTCACTGCTCTCATGGAACACACCGGCCCTTTATCACGTCTTTTCTTCTCATCCTTTGGGTTTTAACTCTCATCTCTCTCTCCTCCTCTTCCATTTTCTTCTCTCCTGCTCTTTTATCCCATCTAACCCTCCTCCTGCTCCTCCTCCTCCTCGTCCCACTCCTGTCCTTTAGAGGCTTAACGTCTTTCTTCTCACATTCATTGTTTTACCTGTGTAAATGATGCCTTCTCCCTTAACCCTTATCTCTGTGCTGTATTGTGCAGGTCTGTGTCTGTGTGTGTGTGTGTGTGTGTGTGTGTGTGTGTGTGTGTGTGTGTGTGGGTGTGTGTGCGGGCGCGCTTGAGGGTGAAGGCTCTCTAATAAGGACTAGCTGAATATTACGAGTCTGTTGATGATCCGTCTCCATGTGCAGGAAGCCATAATACTCCAACAAGCCACCAACCAGCAGCGGAAAAGTACATCACCATGAAATTCCCAACTAGGTTAACGTTAGAGAAAATGCTTTACGTTAAATAAGAAACAACATATTCATTTCAAACAAGGACCGTTCACAGGTCTACGTCACTTCACACTGTATTTTCTTTGTAAATGTGTTCTTGAGCACACAATCTCTGTATTGACTCAGGCTGTCAGCCAATCAACAAAATCAATCACAATAGTTAACTAAGCACACAATAAGCACACACAAACACATAAACCCAAATAGATTAACTGTGCATCATTCCAATCACTACCTGACTTAGGTTAGGAGAACAAAACAGACTTTATGACTGCTGAATTAACAGTGGGTCTGAATTTGTACGTATTGCCAGCAAGCTTCCAACATCAGGAATCTTCCTCCACATATCCTACTTCTATCCCTGCTGCATTGGAAACATCACCACAAAGTGCCTGGCCACTCTGACAGGGGAGCATACAAATCAAATTTACGTTTTCTTTTTCCATCCTTCTAACAGTGTGAAAAGAAAAAGGCCGCTCCCACAGGGCAGCGCAACTGACCCATGCAATGCAGACTACTATGCCCAAATATTGTCTAAAAAATGTTATTGCATACAAAATAAATAACTTGTGTTTGAAAAGATGATTTGTGGAAATTGATAAATATATAATTCCTTTATTAGAAATAAATTATACCCAAATTAAATGACATTTCTTGGATTTATATTGTCTTATTAGCTGATTAGGTTTGAATGACGTATCATCATATATTTTTAATTCCTTGTGGAGGAAATCCCTCCCAAACTAACAGTGCACTGTTTGGTTGTGGGAGTTCCGGACGATAGCCAGACACTGGTGTTGTATATACAAACATTCGCCATGGGTAAAACAGACAGTGATCTTCGAGCTAAAATCCCCTGGGACCAGATGTTGCAGTTTACAGAGAGACAGACTGGGCAAAGATGTCTGTCACGTGCTCCTTAATGAAGGAATTTAGCCGAGCACGCACCCATGGTGTCTGGGATGTCATCCACGCTCTGCTGTGATTCACTGGGATCAAATCCCAGCCTAATTTATGCCGTCACACTCCCGTCTCACGTCTAATTTCTGTCTGCCGCCGGTGAAAAACATGTCTTGAAATTCAAATTTGAAATATAGTGTTCAAAGAGAAAAGGAGAAGGAGTAAACAGAATGAGAAAAATATCCGGCGAGAAGCAAAGCAAGGAGGATACAGGGAGAGAGCACAGAAGAAAGACGAGCAGAGAAACAAAGAGTCAGAACCCAATGCAGAGAAAGACACGAGATACCAGAAAAGCCCTTCTTTCATTTCAAATCAATCACTGTTCATTAAGGACTTCCACTGTCAATATAAATAAAAGCAGTCACACGCAGATCCCCTCAGATTTGTGCCATGCGTGGATTATTTTGAGCAGCTTAGAAAAACTATTTTCAGTTCATGTCTATCAGTAGCATTCCTTTAAACAGGACCTGCTGCTTCTCTGCACCTCTAACTCCACATCCTGGAAGGAATGTGAGCTACACACACACACACACACACACACACACACACACACACAGACACACACACACACACACACACACACACACACACAGCTAAATGTTAAAAGTGTCCCTTGGGGGTCATTTCATATTATGTCTATCTAGAGGTAAAGAAAGATTCCCCCGGACCGATTTGTTGGAATAATAATTTTCTCAGACGTTGTTGAACATCAGCCTTGGACATCCATCACTAAATAAGGAAACCTCCTGGTCAACACATGATAACGAAGGATTACTGGGTAGTGTGGCTTAAGCTCTAAGGCTGATAGTATTAACAGAGAGGAGCGGCAGGAGTTTCCTTCAGAAAAACACACACAACTGTGATATTCTAACACTCTTGTGACACGTGAAGTATGTTACGGTTAAAACTGTAACTAACATGTGTGTTCCTTGTCAAGCCCGCGTCCAGATTTTTAACTTCCATGACCTAAAAACAGAGAGACAGCAGCCCACTTTTTGATGGGAGTCAGTGTGGTGAAATCAGGCCTGCTGAGGAATGAGGTTGATCTGAAAGCACACTGGAGCGTTATCTACTGAGCAGCACATCGAGCTGCAAATCATCACAGCTTGAACAACACGTTAATTAAAGCCCCCCTGAAAGGTGGCAGCGTCGGCAGCGGGGTTGCAATTGTTGCCGTGCTGCCGGCGTAAAATTGGCACGATGACATGCGGACGATCACGGGCGTGATTTAACCCGAGGCTACGCGTCAAACATGAGAGACAGCAAAGGGAGGAGTGGCGTTTAAACAGTGGAGGAGAGGACACAGAGAGTTCAGGTGAGGGAAGGGAACATGGAGGCCCGGGAGGGCGGGGAGGTGAGGGGAGGGAGGAGGGAAGAGTGGGGACAGACACAGTGTGGTGAAGGTGTCAAATGGGAGACTTAAAAGCAAAGAAAAGTTGGAGTGGACTGAAAAATGCTCACTAGGAAGGCGGCGGAAGAGACGGGGAGGGGCATGGACGTGGGATGGGAAGATTGTGCAGCAGAGACCGGACAAGAGGAGACGGTCCTTACCTTGACCCTGCGCCAAATGGGAAATCAGGACCAGTAACACCAGTGGGGTCCACGAGCACCACCTAATCTGCCCCGCTGACACCATCCTCACAATCAGCAGCTTAGACCTGCACGGAGAGAGGAGGATTATGCTGAAAGAAAGGAGGAGATGCAAAGCAAAGAGGTACAGTGCAGTTGGACAGAAAGAAAGGGGGGGATTTCTGACATTTAGCTGAAGAGAGGCTCTGTGGGTCCAGAAAACCCACCCCGCCCAAATACCGCTGATCTGGAATCAGTTAACTCCCGTCTAATTTCCACTTTGATACGAGTACAGAGCAGCAGTTTGACGGTCTAGACCGACCGCAGAGCAGCGGTTGAGCCTGCCGCCCACACCGGGGAACACAGAGGAGGACATTGTTAGAGGGACGAGGGGAGGATAAATGAACAGGAGCTGGTGGGGAAAGATGGAGAACAAACAGTGATGGACAGACAGGGAGGGAGTAGTTTGATTGACAGTCAAGTCAGGAAACATTCCACGCGACCCGTTTCCCAAACCACAAGAGCAAAGACAACAGATCATCTCCTCTTCTCTGTATATCCCATCTCCTTTCACCTCCTTCACTTTTGTCCTCTGCAGCCCACTTATTACATGGGGACGGACACATGGAGACACTCATCACACACGCGGACAGTGGTTTGAATAGAACAGCCTGAGCGAGAAAGTTTTACCTGGTCTGAATTATCTGGAGCAAACCCTGAGGTATTGAAATGAAAGCAGGCTCCTTTCATTCAGAGTGTCAAAAGCCTCGGGACACGGAGAGGGAAATGAGAAAGATTAAACAGAAACCATTCTGCCTTTTAGTCGCTCTCCAACACACACAAATGAGATTGTGATTGGAAAGTCTCAGAGTGACGCTCAATTAAAAATGTATATCTCTTTACTCAAGTGATGCAAGATGAATGCAAATTGCAGCCCAGTGGAAACTCCTTGGGTTTTTTTTTTTTGGTCAGTTTGTGTAACTTTGCAATTGGTTAATGGAAACCAGGAGAAGGCGCAGTCCTCAATAAAATTAAGCAGTCTATTTGCTCAATTTGTGTGCTCTTAAATGCTATTTGCGGAAAATGATTTCCAGACATTCTCAATTAATCACAATACGAGACAGTAGACGCACGCACCGATTTCATTCTTGGAAAAACTGTCTTTAGCCAAATGAAATCAAGTTGGAATCACTGACCGTATCTTCATTCTTCGGCGTGTAAGTGCTGCTAAATGGTTCACATTTAGTTTTTCTGTGGGATTTGGGGCAAACTATCCGATTCATTCAAATTAAGACGTTGCGTTCAAACGCTCCAACGCTGCGCATAACGAATGAAATCACCTTTACCTCTCCGGTCATCGATTCCAAGCGTGCCTTTATCCCCAAAGAAATCCTCTGAATACCAAAGACCGCTGGTTCCTCTTCCTTCTCGCTCCTCCTCTCTTTCTTCTCTTTCTCCCACTCGTTCGCTCCGGATACAATTCGGTGAGTCCGGAGTGGGTGTTTCTCTCCTCGTTATTCAGCCATCCCCCCTCCGGCTATTCCTCCTCGTCCCGACCCTTCCCCGTGCCCCGCTTCATCCAGAATAGAGGGAGAGATGGGGGGGGGGAGACGGTCCCTCTGCGCAAAAAACCTCCGCTGGCAACCTACAGGTTTAAATCCGGCTTCAAATATCCCGAATGCACTTTTCTAAAAGGAGCCACTTGGTCGTTGCGGGTTTGACTTGCATGGAAATGGCAAAAAATGCGCTCGCAGCAGGTGCGCTGCGCTGCGATCTCCGATGTTGAAGGCACCATCACACCGGTTTTCACCTCGACTGAAGACGACTTTCTTGGAGTTTTACAAAAGACTGTAGAAGATCTGTACTTCTACAGATGTGATGTTTCGGCTCATGTGTAAATGTATAGTACCAGTCAAAAGTTTGGACTCATTCAATTCAATGAGAAGGTGTATCTAAGCCTTACCTGACTATTGGTATATTTCGATATACATCTTAAAATAACATTATTTTGTTTCAAGCTATTGTCTGAGTGCTTACTTTGATTTATGTGAGTCCATTGGACACGAATTGTCACGTCTCCAAATTGTTTCTAGATGGCTGCAGAGGTTTTACATCTGTATCATGTCCAATATGTTCTTCTGCAAATCACATTTAGGACATAGTCTATCGGTGCTCTCAGTCAACATTTTTGTGGAGGAATAGTTGGACATTCTGGGATTTATTTTTACATTTAATTTAGCTGAGAGTGAGATTAAAAGATTGATTCCACTTTGATGTTTGCTTGTTAAATATCAAGCAGACAGGGGGTGATTAGCTTAGCTTTGCATTCAGACTGAAAACAGTCTTCATTTTTTCAAAGCAACTCCAAAGCTCACAAAATAACAAACTGTGGCTCGTTTGCTCGATTTAAAAGCTAACTCTCAAACAAGGAAGCGAGAAAGTGCATTTCTCGTAAAGCAAAACTCTTCTTCTAAAAGGTTTTCAAAATGACATTCCGAGCATTAATGTAGCGACAATTTTAATTGCTTTTGAAAGAAGTAGTGTAGTAGCCTCCGCCACGCATCCTCCAGTTCCCCTCAAACAAAGTCAAACACTTCTTGCTCTGTCAGCATTCTTGCTGTTGTTTGCGCCGTTAGCGCCTTTAGCTTCTGGCCCGCCAGCTCCGTCGAAGGCTGAGTCATGTTCAGAGGCACGTGGAGGCACCGGATTTTGAAGCGGGCACTTCTGACATTCTGATTTATCATTACGTTTCGTCTGTAACTGCCAACGCTTTGTTCTGTCGCTCTGATGGAAATTTTAATGCTGTTCACCTGCTGGCGAAAACGCTCTGTGACCTGCCCCGAGGCGCGACGAAGGGAGTCATGGGAAGCAGAGGCCGGTGAATGTACAACGGCCAGGCCGAGTTGAAACGCTAAATAGCTACACTCCAGGTGTGTCCCTGAGGCACTACACACACACACACACACACACACACAAATGCTCACAATACATATGAACATGTGCTCCTTAGCCAAACAACTGTCCAGATGCCATGAACACTATAATCTTGTGGATAGGATCCCCTGTCCTCCTTCCTTCCTCCGCTTTCTTCCTCCAGCTACGTCCTCTCCTCCCGTCCTCCTGTCCGTCTGTTGTCTCTCCTCTGATCATCTGTTGCCCGTTTGCAGCGGACCACACACTAAACAATAAACAGCTCCAGCTGCCAGAGCCCACAGCCATGTGTTTAAATGAATAGCTAATATCAAAGCACCAATTCACCTGCTCGAATATTTTTGCACAACATTTGCAAAATCAGATTGGCACTAAAAGTGATTGTAAGCTCATTTTTGGTTTGACTTTGTATTCCGGGCGGCTGCGGTCTCAGATGGCTTTTGTTTGACAGCTGCTCTCTGAGGACGCTCAGGGCAACAGAGCTAAGGACCCGCCCGATGGATGAACCATGCTGCTGTCCTCCATGCGTTTAGTTTTTTTTAAATATCTATTCATTAGTCTTGATAGCTTCCGGTCTTCATTAGCCCCCTTTTTTTCTTCCTTATCTTCCCCCCCCCCCCCAATTTGTGCTCCCTACTGTATTATAATATATCCATATCTGTCTACATCTCCGCCATCACAGTCCGTCCCAACTGTGGCTCTGATGAATAAATGCATCAGTCCCATGATCTTCAAGTCATTTTGCTCAGTGCCATATGGTCCAACTGTGAAGCCTCATAACGTTTTTAAAGTCACTGCAGGGCAACAACTATCTTTTTAGTGCTGCTACTTCTTCTTTCTATTGAGATGTTACCATTACAGTCACTTAGACAATAATCTTCTATCACTGAAGTCAATTGAAACAATACAAAAACATTTTTTGTAAAACATATACACGGGTCTCAGTAGTGAATCTCCATTTTCACCTTGAGCAATTGTACATCTTATACACCTCAGGCATTATGAAAATGTGTGCAGGCTAGATTGGCTGTCTCGCTGTGTTTGCACAGGTGATACGTGGCAGATCTCACAAGCTGGATGGAAAAGCACACGGGGGACTTTGTGGCAGACAGTATAAAAAGTGAAAACTTGACATCAAATTATACTCGGCGTGACACTGAGAAGGTTTAGGGAAACGTTCCGCACACAGAACAGCATTTATGTTTGTCAATCTAAACTGCACGCACATTTTTTTCATTTTTTTTTTCATACATATTTTACTTTTGCAGAGTAGACGGTCTGATAGATAACTGGTTTTCTAGAAATTATAAGACAATCAATGTTTCAGTAGATGAACACATTGCAATAGTAAAATGATCAAACCACTTAATCCTCCCGTATTCCCTCATACAGCCACATGTTTGAGCTTGAAAGGGGTACAAGATAAATATGAGTATCAAAGTATCAATCATTAAAAGTTAGAGCACAGCAAATGCTCTCCTCAGAGATTACTGTTATTAAGAAAAGGTTGCGTGTCTTCACAAATGTGAAAGAAAACCACTGCAAGCTCGTGCAATTCAGAAGCTGCAACATTCAATAAAGGGATTTTCATTTTTTGATTGGATTCTATTTATTGAGTCCGACATTTGAGCACACACCCATAAACAAACACACACACAGCGATAAACCTGCAAACAAACTTAATATTATATTTAAATAAAAACCTCAGACACGTTTTGCTCACACACATAAACTGGCCCACGGCCTCCACTCTTTAAAATGAAGCAATAACCTGAGGCACACACACACACACACACACACACACACACAAAATGAGCTGCATTTCAACCAGCAAAAAAAACAAAACACGGTTTGTTCGTCTTACAAACTCAATCAAAAGACCTGGTCAAGTTCAAGTAGAGTTGACACATACAAGTTCTTGTAAACACACTTGCACACAAACGTTGGGGCAGACACACACACACACACACACAGACACCCCGTGCTAATAACAAGCATGGGGTTAATATGAGGGCAGCATCTGGCTGAAGTGACCGCAGCCTACTGATTAGTCCGACTAGTCACAGTTATTTGCCTCCTCGTCATCTGGTACCAGGCCGACAGCTAACGAGCAGCTCGTAATGTCCGTCGCTCAACTGCTTCGTTGTGGAACGGACGTGATTTATTGTAGATGATATACTGCTATACAATAGATTTAGTCGGTTGGTCCACCACTTTAGTCCAGACTAAAATATCTCAACATCTATTAATGCACATTGCCATGAAATGGCTGATGATATTTCTTCAACTTTAGTTTGTGAATGTACTAATAACTAATAAGCTGAAAAAGGTGAAAACTGTGCTGTGTTTATACCATTGTTACTTTTGTCGAAGCACAGCTCGGAGAGCTCTTGGCATTAGTCTTGTTCTTGTATATTCAGTCCTGAGGGGTGTTAAGTCCATTAATCTACTGAAGATTGGTTCGACAAGCCATACCGACCATCTTGGTAAAGGGCTTAAAAAAGCACTGTGAATTAGTATTCTCTGACTCTTGCACCTTCTCACCAGGGCGTGCAGAAAGGCGTCCCAGTACACCACATGGAGTTGTGATTTCCTGTCCCCCCCATTTAATGGGTGAAATAATTTTTGCAAAGGAAATGGCCGTTGAAAAGAGGTAGTTTCCTACCAAAGGGGCACACTGCAATAAGCATTTGTCTAGCTGCTAACATTTCTGCTAGCTATGACTTGTCCTGAGCTCTTGCCTGTGGGGAGGGAAGTAGAGGAAGAGAGACAGTCTGCAGGAAAACACTATAATCGTGCCTCAAAGGCATTCGGCCACGACACATTCTTCTTCTTCAGGAACACATATCTTTTCTATGCTTCTCTTCCGGGGAGAATAGTCTAAAAGCTCAATATTTCCCACACGTGCTACCACTGATAACCTTTATTTGATCAAAGCAGTAGCCATACATACATTATTTGCACATATCGTGTCAAAAAGCTAATTAAACTTAGAAGACAAATTTGTTCCAGGTAATTTCATTTCATTCTCTGATCTTACATTATTTGGTTTACCATAATGGAATGTGCAAAATTAAAAAACAAAATGATATGCAAAATATAAAAATACCCTGAAACCACATATTTAATATAACCCAGCATTAAGATAATTGTGTGTGATTGAAAAGACTGGAGACTTTGCTACTAAGAATGCCAAGACAGGAAATTAAAAACGCCTTTTATATTCTTAGGGTGACTTTTTTTCTCCTTTCAATGCACCTCATATGTCTTCTTAACGCTCTTATTTTGGCTCTCGTCACTTTTGCGAAATTATTTTTTCCCCATGGGTATTAATTACTTGAGCTTGGCTTGTTGGCTTGAATTGGACCAACCGGGCTTTTACAAGTCTTTATGTGATCTTTTATTTGCTACTTGGAAGGCTTCTTTCGCTGTGTTAGATTTGGACAACTACAGTTCTGCAGCGTGACTGTGATTCTTTACGTATCAAAATAGCCATCTCAAGGCCCATTAAAAGAGCGATTCACTACACCTCTGCTCCAAAAGGATCATTACTATCTGCCACACATTCATTCTAACACGGACAACCTACACGATAAGGTTTGCTGCTTTGCACTTATTTCGTTAAATAAACACATTTTTTTATCAGTTCAGTATCATCCATCCAGCAGGCTGTCACTCCGTGTGCGCGCAACAGTTTCTAATATCCTGCGTGTGTATCCCTGTTTATTGAGCAGAAACACACACACAGACAAATAGATGGAGGTTGATTGCTGAGCTAATCAATGGGCGTGCGAATGCAAGGAACAGACGGATAGGTGCATGAAAGGTGGCAATGGCAACATGTGATAAGGCCTTTTCTAGTTAGTGCATCTGTCAGTCTTCCTTGAGGAATAAATGGTGTAAAAGAGAGGGAGTGGAATAGAGGGAGACACGGGTGCCTCCAAAGTAGTGTGTCACTAGGAAATGACAAAACTGTTTTGTGTGACATTAATACATTTCTTTGCAGCTCACCAAAGAGTATTGTTAATATATAAATATGACCAGAAAAAAGAAATAATGAGATTAGAGCAGAGAATAATAGACCGGATGAAAAACTTTGACAGGTTGTTAACAATAACAATCTCAGTTGGGCTTCTGTTACTGGAGAGGAGAGGCGCATTGGTTTATTCCTGAGGACCAGTCACACGGCTCTGTGGCGCGTGCTGATACATATTAAGACGCTACTGGTTGAGATGTGGAAAGGCTCAGAGGAAAGACCTGTACAGTATTGTAGCACATCCTGCTGGTCGCGTTTGGTTAGTACATTAAAAAAGTAAGCGAGCCGCCATGTTCCACTTTTGACCGACCCAGCAGGGGAATCGACGCGTACATTAACAGAGTTGATAACATGTTCATTTTGTGGTCAGTGACAACACAGCAGTTTGTAATCTCATTGTTTCTCATCTCAGATTCCCATTACGGCCTCTTAAATCGAGTCAATGAGTTCTTTATCCGCTCTTCCCTTTTCAGATTTCTTTAGAACCGAAGAAGTAAAAGTAGACGGTAAAAAAAGATCCTTCTTTTGTCTTGAGTCTGGTGACCTCGCAGATTTGGAAGACGTTGTAACATAATGTGACTCTATGTTACAGGTCTAGTAGAGGTCCGCTTCATTTCTAATACACACCTAAAATAATAAACAAAAAACATGCTATTATGGTTTTTAGACAACAGCCTGATGGGACTAAACTGTAGCACCTAAAAGACTTCCAACAGCCTAAAAATGATACCAGATGTTCACTGTAGCATCAGCTTGTTTATTAAACGTTTAATCAACTGTTTAATACATCAGCACATCATAATTAGCTTAAAGCGGCCTTATCAGAAACAGTGTGGTACTGTGTGAGCTTATATTGTCGTAGGAACATCAAATCTCTGGTAGCGGAGAAAATCAACACATTTTGGGGCCCTCGCTCTGGCCTCATACGGTCAACATAAAGCAGAATAATCCCTTTAATTAAGCGGGTAAACAAACCATCAAAGCTTAAGTATAAAACTGAAAACAGCACAATGTAGAAGGAAATGAATCCCCTCACACCATTGCTTTTGAAACCTGATGTGCTTTTTGAAGGCGGTGTCCATAAAATACTGATTGTCAACAGAACTGCGGCACGACAACCTGTTACATGAGCGCTTTTACAAAAGGTCACAGATGAACAGATCTGGGAACAGAACAAAGGGATGATCAAGATGACCACCAACTGGAATTAGCACCAAAATGAGGCAAATGTTTTTCGGGTTTACTGTTGAAGAGTGAACCCATTTCAGCCGACTTCTGACCACACTACTCCCTCCAGAACAAATGAACATTTCAATCTCCTTTTTCAGAATCACAACCTCTCAACGATTTCTAAAACTTAAACAGACCAATAAGCAGATATCAGCTTTTAATGAATAATGATAATTCTACAGAGAAGAATTACTAATGTCTGCAAAAGAAGTGATTTCTGTCACGCTGATTGGCTGTGTGGAAAAATTAGTGTTAAAGAACTTTCAAAATCTCTGTGTCTGGGATTGTACCTTCTCCAAACACGGCAAACTCAAAACAAAATATCTAAGACCTTCAGATGAAGCACCTTAACATAGAATATTGTATGGCATCATCCGACAAATTGAGAGAACAGTTTTGAGATCAGCAACTAGCACAAACAGTAATTAATGTTTATTAACCAGAAAGAAAATCCCCAATGTCTGTAAAATGATATTGTAATTATATAAACTTCTTATTTATACAGCTGAGAAACTTTTGCGCTTTTATCGCTGTCCTACAAATAGAGCGTTCTCCAAAGTAGGTTACGTTATCTGTGACGTGATTGGTCAGCGAACTCACACACACAAGTCAAATACCGAGGAATCGATTCGGAGGCAATGGTACATAAGCACAGATTTACAACAGTCATGCATTTCACTGTGTACAACATCCAAATACATTGAGCAACAGCAAATGAGGCCTCCTGAAGGAATAACTGCAGAGACTTGCAGGCAGTTCCCTGTGTGTTCATTCTTCTGATTGGCAAATGTCCTGATTGTATGTTCATATTGAATAGAAAAAATGGTTTTGCATTTAGTAACAACTTCTCTTCGGGACGAAACTACCTACGAATTAAATTAAGCAGGCAATGTTGTTTTGTCTGAAAGAAACAAGTAATGTTTGTTGTTTTGTAAGCGTTTTGAGTAGCAGCCCTCGTGCTCTGCACGGCCCGTCTGACATCCGCACCTGCCACATATTCCTGCTCCTAATTCAAAGCATTATTTCTTAAGTTGGTGTATGTGGAACCAGAGGGGCCAACAGCTTGGAGGGCTACGCCTATATTTATAGCATTTTGAGTATTTATATTTGGTATTGAATAGGCTTTGCCCTCTTAAGAGTTGTTGCTATTGGGTGCAGGGTGTCAACATGGCACTAATGTCCACAAGCAGAAAACACACAAGCTGTAAATTCCACACGATATAAAGGCAGGAAGGCCCCAGACTGTGCTGAAAGATTTCAAATTATCATCACAATTTGAGGCTCACACATCACATCGTTTAAGCAGGACAAACCCTTGATGTGTAATTGGGTGAATTGCGACATGCTTTGAGTAGTCGGAGGACTAGAAAAGAGCTTCATGAGAGACGAGTCAATTTACGGGCAAGCCATGAATCTTTATGACAGCGCATGGTGCCAGGATGCTCTTAGGGGCAAAGCCTGTAAAGGTATAGGAATGAGTGTTGACCCGAGTTAAACACAGATTACAGACACTTACTGTAGGAGCAACTTGAGCGTTACAACCCATGCTCGACCTTGGTGGCCATGTCTTTCGACACGCTTTAAACTCTGTTGATGTTTTGGAAGCTAATGAGGTACTAATCTACTTATAGAAATGTTAAGCCTTCATAAGTCCAGCTAACCTTTTTAAAGGTAATTTCAACCAAACAATAATGAATAAACGATTATCTGTGCAGAGTTGCAGCTGACATTCCAGTATATTAACAAGATATGTCTAGAATCTGTGCTTCCATTCAGAATAAGCATGTATATGTAAACGTATACATATTCAAATTCTAAGCAAGCTTTTTTCATCTTAGCGCTTTTGACAGTATGAAACAAATGCTTATTAGGTCAAGTGCTCCAATGATAATCCTATCCATTAATTCAACAGACATTAACATTTTTAAATAAATCTATTTGCTACGAGAAAATATTTTAAGTTTCCAAATTAAATCTGGTTGGCAGGACACAACTCCAAGTGTAGTTAAGTATGTATTTGGCACTTCCGCTGTTTTCTGTCAATAGACACAACACATCTTTGATAAAATTTTAAAGTTGACAACATCTCAACATAAAATATCTGCTCTTTAAGTGCCTATTCTTTTTAAACATATATCTTTAAAAATAATAAACATGTTATAAGTAAGATTTATTCTTTAGAAAAAGTGTATAAAGTCTCTGACATGTTCTCATTAATGTGGTTTAATCTGATAAAGACCAGTCGCAGTTTACTTGTGCGTTAAGTATTTTGTCCTATATACACTGTGCATGTACTGTCACACACACGTTTTATAACATTCCTAGCAGCTACACCTAAATCTACCTAGGCATAAATGTATTCATAAATGTCTTTCACACAACAAGGGTAGAAATTTGAGCTTTTTTTCTATTTAACAGAATGTTGCCCAGACACCCTGAACCCACCCCTGTAATTCACAGGTTGCATGAATGCTCACTCGCTGCCAGCAGGGGACAGTGTCGAGCCATCAGGGGGCGTACGTTCTAACTGGGGGAGAGGTCACGACTATGTCAGTAACAAACAATCTTCCTTTTTCTTTCGGATTCTGCTTGTTCATCCTTTGGCCTTTAGACTCTTCTCATGGTCAGCGACAGAATCGGGGAACAGTTCTGGTTTTAAACTCAAACAAAAACAGGGAACGTGGGTGTTCCTTTTCCACGCGTAACAAGTTTGGGGACTGAGAGCGTTTGTACCGTGTGTAAAAGTGAGAACGTACATATATTTATAAATCCAAAGAAAAAAAGTAAAGCGCAGCCTGCAAGCTGAAGGATTTACTCGACGTGTTTGTTTCGCAGTCCTCCACCTTGTCCAAACGTTATTGAAACAGGAAGAGCGCGAGTTGTATTTAGAGTTATCCACGTCGCTCTGTGGTTTTGAGGTGCAAGCCGTGAACCTTCTAACCCCCATGTTATTACTGCATTACTCATTCTTCTGACGCGCCTCCACTCAAACCTACGCCTCCTCCATCACCTCCATGACTATTGTCCTGGGTCCGGTCAGGATCAGGTTGCTGACGGCGCGGTAGTCCTGGGCGAGGACGTTCCGTCCGTTCACCGACACCACAAAGTGACACACCTTGAGAAGAGAGGCACAAAGAGGAGCGAGTTAATGGACGCTTTGGCTATGACGCTCTCAAGGTAACAGGATGTGGACATGTTTAATGTACATATATATATATATATATATTTTTTTTTTGTCTAAATGAGATCTTTTTCAAGGGAGCCAAGACCACATCAACAGTGTTTAGAATGAGATACATGAGACTTTTGAACATGAGAAACCAGAACTGAAATATTTGTCAATGTTATAGTCAACATTTTTATCTATGCTGCAGGAGTGAATTTGGCTTCCATTGACATTTTATTTGTTGTTTGTGCATACCAACTGAAATAACAAGGACCTGTGATGAGCTGTAATGACATTTCTTGCAAATACTTCAGAGAGAGGATTTCAATCTCTTATCTGTTCTACTCTGACGTTAAAATAGGACTGAGACTGGAAACAGGTGGAAAAAGCTACACAATTCATTCCAACGGTAAAAATCGCCACCTATGTTAGTTTCATCCCAACAAAATGAAAAACAGTGTGAAAACAACATACAGAGTCCTCTATGCCTGGCGGGGACGCGTAAGAGAGTGGCATCAACCGAAAATGTAAATACGCATTTCCAAAATGTCAAACTACTGTATATACATATCAAAAGCAGAAAGCGGAAACTGGAGGTCAGTTTGGCCCCGGGGCCCCCAAACTCATTGAATGAGCCACGCTGTTGATCGCTACAGAGATCAAGCTCCAAACATTTAGGCGCAACAGACATTTGTCAACTCGCAGCGCAGTTTAAAAAAGCCAAAGAACATCAGCAGTCGCACCACAAATCAGTAAGACGAAAGCAAAAATGGCAACATGTTCAAAGCTCCAACAGTAAAGAGCAAGATGTAAATCATTGACATTATTACATGATATAAAACGACACCAGATACAACATGACAGCCAGGCTCAAAGCTCTCCGGAGTCACTTATCGCCATTGAACCACAGTTACAACTCGACGGTACTGATGGAAATGCGGCTGGCTTTCTGAGGTGCCTTCTGGCTGCTGTTCTTGCAACATGACGGAGGCGTTTCTGCCCACTGCTAAAGCTAAAGAGTTTGAGGCACGTCAACGAGAACAAGAGCACGTAAATCACTGCGATATCTATATTGGCTGTAAACCAACAGTGCAGACGGCTGACTGACGGTGGAAGAAAAACTGTTATGGAGGAGTTTCATGGGGCCATTTACAAGGCGCAGGCTATTTAAACCCTGACTTGCATAATCTAATGTGACATACAGGTTACTTTTTTTCCCAAAGAGATTGCTGCAACAGGTTTCTGTGGACTTGATGAATGTTTCAGGGAAGATAACAACAGGCTTACGGGAAAAGAGAGATTGAAAATGCGATAGTGAAGAACAGCGTAGACTGTTAATTATTTTGCTGTAGACTCACTGTAATCATATCTAGACCTGTGCAGCATATATTTATTTTTATCTGTTCAGCCTTTCCTTCAAATGTCTTCAAGTTTTTTTCCGACTCAAACACCTCCCCCTCTTTCTCCCCCACTGCTACTCCTCTCCTTTCAGGCTGCGCGGCAGTCGGTCTTGGCTGAGGGCCCAGCTGGACCCAAAAGTCATAAACCAGCATATTGAGGAGAGAGAGAATAATCAACACGTAGGAGGCCTCGCTGAGATATTTATGCAGCAATAACAGCTGAAGAATAGTCCCTCTTTACCGAAATACTACAGATGAGGACCAGAGGACATGTTTGCCTTTATGTCCCTCGAGGAATCAGAAAACCAGAGACCCAATGACCAACAAGTTGAAACCACACACAGGTTGAGAAACTTCTTCTTTTGAGTATTTTCTTGAACTGAGATCCCGATCCAACCAATTGCCCGATGTTAATTTGGCCCATCATAAAGCAAAATGACCTCCAGAAAACTAAACTTCAAATCAAAGGCAATCTGGCCTGAATCGGAACATATATTTGGGGGAACCAATTATGGGGTTAAATCAGGATTATTCCACACGGTGTGTTTTTAATAGCTCACTAGTCAACACTTTAGTCTTCTGGTTGCCTGGCAATCTCACGGGGGCTGAAGGAATCCAGGGTCTCTGGATTTGCAAGAACAGGCATATAAAAGTTTTTCCCAAACTGTTGAACCGTTTTCCTTTCAGAGGGTCGTTTCGTGCGCGTCTCAGCTGATAACTGTGTCTTCACAGTGCAGTCACTATGCTCAAGGCTTAAATGTTATTTTAATTGTGTGACACGTAGTATTCGGATATTTAAAGATTTCAAAATGCGACAGTGTCCGATTCATCTGAGCTTGTGATAGAGAACATGCTGTTCAGTACACACACGTGACGGTGTACAAACATGTCACATGGGGCACAGCCGGCGCACACTGCGAGGAAAACACGCACCATGCTGCTGCTGCTGCTGCCTTATAAAAGTGCATTAGTAACATGAGCTGGATTCTGTTTAACAATTGCACATCAATAAAACTACTCCGGTGAAGTAGAAGAGGATTACACCTCCTAGAAACGAACTCCTAATAAATAAACGTGTGGCCATGTGGCTCCCACAGCGGCACACTAGCAGTGCACGATCATATTTCTCACCCAATACTGTGGCTTTCTGTTTTTTTGCCCTCGGCACAAAAAGATGATACCTTTTACATTTAATAAATAAAGAAAACCCCACAAAGCTTGAAACTTGGTGTGAAAATGAAGAATGACGTCCTCACAGTGGGCCTCCAATTAGTCTACACTCAGTGGGCCATGACCCGCGTTTCCATGGTGATAAAATATGACTGGTTAAGAGTAACAGAAGGCAGAAGTGAAAATACTGACGGTTTCCTCTGTCAGTGCTAATTCTTTACTCCTTCCGCATCCTTCACGCTCTTCAGCTTCGTGCTGATGTCACCCTGAGTTGACACCTTCGCCTTCGCCGGTGAAAAACAGCCGCTTTGCAGCATTTTGGTTTGGACTGAAGAATAGAATGTCCTTTTCAAAAACACTGCTGCAGCAGAGTGAGGGTCCCGGCACACAGGATGCCGTATGTGTACCGTTCTGATGGTCCTCTGAGACAAAGTGGTTATTTTGGGCTGTACAATATGAATATAAAGAAATACTCTAAGCACAAGGAAACACGTTAAGTGTCCACTGGGCATTAGCAAGGATTAATAAAAACGTCTACTTTTTAAAACAAAGTCAACAACAACAAAGTGCTCGGTAACTACATGCTTCCCTTTTTCCGCTCCTCTTCCTGGTGTTTTTTTTTTTTATTCACTCCTCTTCTGTCCACGTTGTGGTTTAAGTCGCCATGCTTTGCATTCCCAAGATTCCTTGCTGCCACTCAGCTCACACACTCTCATGCCAGCGCAGCCACCATTAACCCGTTTCCCCCTTTTTCCTCTCTCGTCACTTATCCCGCTCTTATAGCGCATCTCCGCTAACATCTGGACCTTCATCCTCACTGCGGGTTTGTGAGACTTAACAAAACAATCTAAATAAATAACACTGTGCAAAGAATTGATGATATGATATACTCTCCACATGGTAACATCTTCTTTCCTTCTGGAGCTCACGGTGCTTTTTAGGACTTTTCCTCTCTTCGGTCCTTACCTTCATGCCAGCAGCTGCTGCAGGTCCACCAGGGTCCACAGCCTGAATGTGACAGGGTTTGCTTCCTCGCACCACAAAGCCCCAGCCCACAGCATCACCTACGATCTGAGGAACAGCGAGAAGAGGCGAGATGTTAAAATGATTCGGCACACTGTTTGTATTTAAGTGAAGCCATACAGTTCATTGGTGGACCGCTGGGGTTCAGCTCTCTTCCTCTTATACTGTTCCCTAAAGGTTAAGAACAAACATTTACATTTGTGTCCCAAGTATAATTATAATTTTTGTATTTTTGTAAACTTGCAAACAACAGACAAACTTCCCTATCGGAATTGACAAACTGTATGATGTTTGTTTTTTTTCTTTATTTTTCCTTTGTGACAATCAAACTGATCTGAGACACGTGCGAGAGCTTCCTGCACTTTCACGTGACCTGGAGGCCCAGTGTGTGCGAGAGGGAATGTGTGACATCCAGGCTGAAGTAGTATCTGTTAGAGTTGCGTCCTACTGTGAATGTCTTCTTAACAAAAGGTCCTCCTGGTGACTGCAGCTCCTCTGGGCTCACTTGTCTTTTTAGAACTGTTGAGAGAAACACACAAAGATCAACCGTGAGATTCAGTCACAGCCAAATACGTACTCTACCAGGCATGAACATCTCACACACACTGGAACACACACATAATATTGTTGGCTAATAAGTGTGTCAAAAGGGATAATGTCAGTCACATGCTAACAGAGCCTGCAGGCTTCCTAAAATATTACAGCTCCCCTCCTCCAACTTCCCCCAACTGTTGCTCAATTCAACTTGGCCCGAAGACGGATTTAACTGGGCTTTGTGTCTCCACAGACACCAACATTAAATGTTATATTCATTCCATTAGTACGAATGACGCACGTTATTTAATGTTGTCATTTGGTCAACTTTGCTACTTCAGTATTAATATTTCTGTGTGTGTGTGCCCTTTTCCTTAGCAATTGTTAACATGGGTCACTTTCGGTAAATACTGGTTTCCATGGTTCACTGGTTGAGACATCACTGAAGATCATGTTTTACTGGTGTGATGAATAAAAGACGGACACTTGTGTAGTGCTGTGGGCGGCTGCAGTATAAAACAGAAGGATTTAATATTTTGTAAAATTGCTAGACGTTTTTAATAACCAAAACCAACTTAACGCACATCAAAATGAATGGTGTATTATTTCACACAGACTGAAGAAACCCGTTGAAAGTGCTAAAATGACTGAATACTAAACATTATTTAATTCTTCCACACAAATCTGACAGCAAATCCCTCAGGTTGCCAGAGGCGTGTGCACGCTGTTCTGTATGTGTGTATTTTATAAATCTCTTGCGGTCTATGTAGCACTTCTAATCTAATCTGATAAAACCGAGGAAGTGAAGAGAGACATTTTTATCCTCTTGTTCTAGACATTTCCATAATCTCTCTGTGGAAACCCTGATCTGATACCTACAGGACAATCGCTCTTTATTGCAGAGGGGGATTTTTTGTTTGTGAGTGCCTTCCTTTTCCTGTGTACTGTGCACGGCGTGTATTGTGCACGGCGTGTATTGTGCACGGCGTGTATTGTGCACGGCGAGTAATGAGCGCCCGTGTCGGAGGCTCTCTGGTGCTACAAAGAGACTCTGTCAAGGACTCTGCATTGATTGGACACATCAAAAGGAACCTCGCAGTATTTAAAGACACTAAGTAAAAAAATTAAAAAAACACACACACACAAACACACACACACACACGCACACACGCACAAAGCTCGAAGGCATTTCATCTTCATTGATTAGCAGGTACCTCTCTTCCTCTGACCTTAACACACAGTCATTTAACATTTCTCTTCATTTTAAGTACAAAAAAAGATAAATGAAAGGTTTGTTTTGTAATGAATGGCAGGAGGGTTTGAAGTAATTAGTAGTTTGTGTGTAATTTGTTGTACTTCTACACTTACTAGAGAACACTGGTGTGTCTGGTGTCTCAACAACCCATTTAAGCAATAAGTTAAGATCAGCAAGCTCTACCCAGGATCTCGTATGAACACTAAACCTTTCCCCTTTCACATTCATGAGGAGTTGGCCTGCAAGCGTTAGGACATAAACAGGAACACAACTTGTGGTTGGCTTGGTTGCAGATGTTGTGCACACAACAACACATTTTCCATGACTTTTACGGGTCTTTCTTTATGACCTTACATTCTCTGTGTACATGAAAAACTAGAGTTGAAAACCTTTAGTATTTCTTGACTAGAGATCAAGAGTGAAGCCCTTAAAATGCAGGTGTGTGTGTGTGTGTGTGTGTGTGTGTGTCCATGTCATCTCACCAGACTTGGGGTTGCAGAGCACAGGAGGGCTGCTGCTGAGCGTAGGACTGCTGCTGTAATAACCGCTGCTGCCACAGCTGCTGCTCAAGCTGCTCCGCCGAACTCCGGCCACCACCTTGATCTCTTTAGTGGGACTCACTGAGACACAAGACACAAAGAGACCGAAATCAAATCGACGGGTTATTAACTTGGCCTTTCGACCTGAAGATCAGTCAACTGCATGAAAAGTATCGATCCCAACCAAAAGCCTTTTACTTCTTCTGTCAGGGTAGAACTGAAGAACAGGTAGCCTCAGTTTCTCTGTGTTGACCGAAACCAATGTTGACGTACGTAGTCGTATTAAATTACAACACTTAAAAAGGGACAGTGTGTACCTGAGAGGAAGCTGGTGTTTCCTCCATCAGAGTTCTGTTTGCGGAGACAGAAAGGACTGTCGTGACTCTCCGGGATGCTGCGGCTGCGCTCGTGAAGAAGTTCGATCAGCCGCCGTCGCCGCCGGAAATTCATCCTGAATTGGTAGAGGAGGGGCCCGTCAACAAAGTGGTTCCTATTGGTTACTGGTGAGAAAGAAAAGGGGACATTGAGAGAATACATTTGTTTCATTTAAGAGGAAGAGTAAATACATTAACAGGTCTTTCTCTTTAAATGCTAGCTATTAAGATTAATGTCAAATTATTTGAATAACCAACAATGTGTAATATTTTTTAAACATAAATAAAATATTAAGAGCAGAACGAGACAGTTAAAAGTCCTCAATGTGAAGCAGATAAATCGACTAAAATGGGTTGGATCTGTTTTGATGTTTTTCTCTTTAGATGGTTAGTTTTTTTTCCCATTTCTACTTTTTTTTCCGCTACTTATACATCTTGGTTTTTCAAAGTTATAGGCTAGAAAAAACAAAATGCAATACATCACAGGATATGCACAAGCAGGTCAATCTTTAACTGCATTTGTTGGGTAAGTTCCCCTTAAACTGCATTCAAACTTGTCACTTTTGGCTCATTTATACAGATAAGCAATCAAACATACACACTTCCCCAGGAAATAAAAAAATTACTATCTCATGTAGTCCTCTATAGTTTTGTCTGAAGAGTGCAGTTTAATTTATATATTTTCTCATTACTTTCTTATTTACTATGAACACATACCCTTTTGTAATATGTGTTCATGGTAAATAAAGTATATGGCAATAGAAGGCACATATTGGAGAAAGGTTTATACACACATGTGCTTAGTACACATGTCCCTTGTGCTTGTGATGCTTTTGTCAACCTATGAAAATCCTTCTATTATATATGTGACAAAAGAAAAACACACACTATTGAATAGGCTTCAGAGGAGTGTGTTGCTGTTCTCACCCAGATTAATGGAAAGGAAATGGTGCAACATTGAAATCATGTTGAAATTGTGTCCGTATATGTCTAAAAGTTATTACATGTGATTTATTTGCTTACAGCATCTGAATTCTCCTTTTTACTTTATACTTTAAGGTCTATTGAAAAGCCAACTCCTCTCAGCTGATCAGAAGCGCATTGTCCCTCAGAAGACAATAATAACCAAGCAAAACGGGCTGGATCCATCCAGATGTGCCTGATTGTGAGTGAATGAATGAGAGAATGACCTCTGCGCCGGCACGGCAGAGAGAAAGTAGATTAGATATCTCTAATCTTAGATCTCTATTTCAACACGTTTGGAATGTGTTTCTAATGGGAACTAAGGGTCTGTAAACACATTATAATTACACATAACTTAGTTTGAATAACCGTCTACTGTAACGACAGGGCAGATGGTGATATGAAAGTGCAATGTGTGCATGCTGGAGAGGTTATTTGAACAGGGACGATGACACTACGCGGCCAACAGAAAGCTGATAACTGCATAACATGAACTCAATGAGGTGCTTTTTTTATGATGCTGTTTTCCTTGAAGTCACGCGGCCTGTACTCCACACCCAAGACCACGGCTTCAAACCAGACGTCATGTCGTGTGGTGACCTGACCTCCTCCTACAATCACTGCTAATGACGATCTCACGTGTAAAGAGCTGTGCGCTCACTGTAGAATCCAAGGTCCAAGACCCAATACGAACGTGCACACAAGTCAACCTGCGTCGCTGTGCACTGACTTCTAGTTCAAAATACCTTATCAGGGAGAAGATGTCAACTATTTTATAGCCTGTCCCGAACAGTTGACTGAAGCATTTGAATAATTATGCCTTTAACCGCATTGCTTTAACGAGCCAGTGGGAGAAAACGTATTTTGATTACACATGCAGGTTGCTCTGCTAAATTTAATGAGGAAAAAAAAACATTCTCCTCAGACTCACCCAGTAAACTTGTAGAGTAATGACCCACAGTTCAAAATATGCACTAAGCCATAAAACCTGTGTGGAGCAGTTTTATAATGGCTCTTTTTGTTGAATATTGATAATCAAGGTTTATTAAAGATGAACCTTTTCACAAAAATCACGGATTTAAAGATTTTTTGGTTTTCATTCTGGTACCAAATCTCAGAAGTTTAAAGTACTTAAGTATGTCCACGTTATGCTACTTTTCACAGGAGAACATTGACTTTTTGCTTCACTACATTTATCTGATACCACCTTATTTACACTTTATTTTTCTCCCTAGCTGCTGAGGCAGTAGAGTGTTTTTAATATACATTTTCTTACATTGTGCCGTTTCTTAATTACGACACGACGGACTGGCAAATCCCCTCCGGCTCCGTGGCTGTCTCAACCGGTCCGTGCCATGAGAGCCACCATGCGAGCGTCGGAAAGGAGATGGCGTAAATATAAACGACCTGACGACCTGCTTGAATTTCAATCTCTCCTCTCCTCGTTTTCTGCTTCTATCTCTGCTGCCAAAAGCTCTTTCTACCAATCCAAAATCGAATCTTAATTTTCTAACCCCAAAAAACTCTCCTCTCATCTCCACTGTAACAACCTCCTTGACCCCCACCAGTCAGGTTTCAAGGCAGGCCACTCCACAGAGACTGCTCTCCTTGCTCCTTGCTCCTGCAACTCCACACAGCTAGAGCCGCCTCTCTCTCCTCTGTCCTCATCCTTCTGGACCTCTCTGCTGCATTTGACACGGTCAACCACCAGATCCTTATTTCCTCCCTTCAGGAACTTGGTGTCACAGGCTCTGCTCTCTCCCTTCTCTCGTCCTACCTCGACGGCCGCACCTACCGGGTAACCTGGCGAGGATCTGTGTCGGAACCTTGTCCTCTTACTACTGGAGTTCCTCAGGGTTCCGTGCTGGGTCCCCTCCTGTTTTCGCTTTACACCAACTCTCTTGGCGCTGTCATTCGCTCGCATGGCTTCTCTTACCACAGCTATGCCGATGACACCCAACTAATTCTCTCCTTCCCTCACTCGGACACCCAGGTGGCGGCTCGGATCTCTGCCTGTCTAACTGACATCTCTCAGTGGATGTCCGCCCACCATCTGAAAATCAACCCCGACAAGACTGAACTACTTCTCTTTCCCGGAAAAGATTTGCTTACCCAGGACCGGACAGTCAACTTTGGGAACTCCGTACTAACGCCCACTTTGACCGCTAAGAACCTTGGCGTCACACTCGACAGCCAACTCTCCCTGATTCCCAACATCACCGCGACAACGCGATCCTGTAGGTACACGCTCTACAACATCAGGAGAATACGTCCCCTTCTCACTCAGAAGGCAGCGCAGGTACTGATTCAGGGTATTGTCATCTCCCGCCTGGACTACTGCAACTCCCTCCTGGCAGGTCTCCCTGCTACCGCCATTCGACCTCTGCAGCTCATTCAGAATGCAGCAGCTCGACTGGTCTTCAACCTTCAGAAATTCTCCCACACTACTCCACTCCTCCGCTCTCTTCACTGGCTACCGGTGGCCGCCCGCATCCAGTTCAAAACATTGGTGCTCACGTACCATGCTGTGAATGGATCGGGTCCAGCTTACATCCAGGACATGGTCAAACCCTACATCCCAACCCGCACTCTCCGCTCTGCATCTGCAAAACTACTCGTCCCTCCCTCACTGAGAGCAAAACACTCGACTAGATCTCACCTCTTCGCTGTCCTTGCGCCGAAATGGTGGAACGAGCTCTCTGAAGACACCAGGACCGCAGAGAGCCTTTCACATCTTCTGCCGCAAACTAAAGACACACCTTCTTCAGACTCTACCTCGACTAAAGACTAATAAATTGTAGCACTTTAAATTGTACTTG